AAGACAGTGAGTTTTGTAAGAAAGCACAGTGTCTTGCACACTATTCGTATGAAAAATCTGAAAAGTCAATGATGGTTCTTGATATTCAAGGCAGTGGTAATGTGATGTATGATCCTGAAATAGCTACGTCAACATCAAAAGGTGATGATGATGGTGAGTTGCTCTTTTGTGCAGGTAATTTATCAGATGCTGCTATTACCAACTTTATTGCTGAGCACAAGTGTAATGAGTATTGCTTTTTAGCTGGGCTGCAAGAGCTCACAAATGTTGACCCATGAGATAGATACTTTTTTTAGCACTCAAGAACTTCGTTTGTCTTAAGTTGACAACTGAAACAGTTCAAGCAAATAATATAAGTTTATTTAAGTCACTGGCAATGCGTGRCATCCAGAATATGAAGACCCCGAACCATCTGAAAAGACTTTGAACTTATTTAATTCTGTTGTACATTTTAATTTTATTTACTTGTCGATTATTTATTACTTATTAATTATTTTACATCTCCCAGCATTAGCTCTGCTATTTGGGAGTATAAGTTCCAAGATCCAACACTTTTGTGAAATAAGCGTGAGGCAAAGGAGATTTTCAGACTAAGAGGTATTATACTGCTCATTTACAGTGCAGCTTATTCTAATCAAAGCCACCCAAACAAATGTACCACAATGTTTTCAATATTGTGAAAGTACACATGATTATATTAAAGCAGAAAATGAGAAAGTCATAATTGGATAATATATTTGTAATAAAAAGTAATTGTTTTGGTGGCCTTATTTGATGTAGATGCATAGCAGAGCATGCATCATACATCCATGAATCAATTCCTAATAGCAAAATTTTACATTCTTAACTAAATTGGCTAACAACAAAGAAGAATTGTCACTGCTCGCACAAAGACAGCTAATTAAGTCACAATTGTATCTTGCACTTTTTCACTCCACTATAAGTGTCAAGTTTTATTTCGTGGATAWATTTCATGCACTCTTACAGCAGTGCCTCTCTTTCTGTACTAGAGCATGGTAAATACAAGACATGGCTTTGCTCCATCTAAATCCATGCAGTGTAGCTACCTCACAAGCTCATTAACATATCCATTCATGGAATACTGAATTTATTATTCCATTTCAATCTTTTTAAATGTTTTACAAATGTTCTGTCATTTTCATTTATTATTCATGCATCCTTATGACTATTTAAAGGTACAAAAATGAATAGAATAGACAAAAATGACATGAGGTGAGCAAAGTTATATTRTCAAGATTTTGAAGTTCAAACTCATTTTTTTATATTTTCTCCAACAATCAAATGCTTTTTAGATATTATATCAAATATGCATTTTGTGTTATGAGCTTTCAGAAAAGGTATATGTTATTAGAAATTTATAGCAGATTGAATGCACTATATGGCATTAAAGTAACAAGCCTGTTTATGTCAGGGGATATTYTTAAAAATAAATTGAAACATAGTTTGAGATCCAGAGAAATATACAGGTGATATAAGATAAAAACAGGAAAAATACAATATAGTGCATTTTGGAGTATTGGCTTTATATATGATATACTGTGTGTATGCACAGTAATATTAGGATTTACAGTGCAGCTACTATAATTTGGGCCACTTCAATTAGTCTCATTAAGCAATCATATTCTTGCAACTTTTAACTCAACAGTGGCCACCCGCACTTTAGGTTTACTAGAATAAAAGTACCACTTCACAAAGCCAAAGTAAACCATGATCACACAGTCGGTTAAAAAATCTCCTAGGAGGTTTGAACTTACAATGATTTAGAAAAAAATTTTGAAAAACATGCTACAACAAGCCAAGTTCTGTCAGAGCACATTGATAGAAGACCTTGGAGACATGATAATGTGATTCATCATTTTCCATAGAATGGTTCACCAGTCGAGAACAGAGCATTTTGTTGAGGCTGCAAGCTACAAATTTGCATATCCTTAGAAATCACCTTGAAGTCTTGATTGAGTGCCTTGTATTTGGCCAGTGAACTAATGTATGGAAAATGGTGATTTGGCAACTGCTGTTATCAGTTTTATCACTGTCTGGTTTTTCTGCATCTACAGTACCTTGTCAGTCTTGTTGGATTCATCTTGTTCAAGTGATCCTGGTTATAGTAGCAGCACAAGGTTGAAGAAGGCAAAATGTAACTGTTTTAGAAATAATTGTTATCTTGATATTAACAGATTTCTTGTTGATGAAGATATGTTTATATTCATTTGTTGCAGTTATTGAATAATAAAAGATTAAAAAATTAAATTTTTGATTTAAAGCTTGAAGGATCGTAGTTCAAAATACATTATACAAGTGCAATGATGATGTACTGAACTTTTTAGATTAATAAATGCAGAATACATATCAACTGTTGCCTAGTCTAGTCTTGAGTGAAATACAGTGTAGGACATTTTATTTGACTATACAACTACCAGAATGTCCTACGATTTTTATTTGAACTTGCAAAATTAATTTCCATTTGGTGTACAGCAGAGCTGAGCAGTTGCACCGAATAGTAAACTACTAACTATTTACAGGGTTGTCCAGGGTTTTGTTTATGAACCATTATTGTACATTWTAATTTTTTGTGATCCAATGATTTGCAAAATAAATCCTCATGAGTTGTGATTCACTCATCCTTTGGAAAGCTAAATAAAAGTAATTGTCAAATTTTCATAAATCTGTGAGTTATTCTTGCTATTCTACCAATTAGTTAGCCCTTGAAATTTTAAAATATTTTGAAAAAGATAATTTGTCAGCCTTGAGAAATTGCTGGCTAATGTCGTAATGATCGACAGCATGACAAACAAGGTAAAGTACCGTTGAATAGTTTTAAATAGTTTTTTGAAATACCTTTTCATTATTTTCTTTTTTCCTAATTCGGGAAATATAAGTTTAATTTTGGCCTTGGTGATTCRTGCCATATAACCCCCTTCCCCCTGRACACCCCTGTATTTAGATGCTTTAACAAATCAAACTACATTATCCTTGAGATATCGAAATGCATGGGCAATGTCAGAGACATCAATTTCTAGTGGGTCTATWATTTGTTCACACTTAACCCTTAAACCTGGTGGCAAATAGTCGTYGTTGTCAGTCAACACATCTGAAAGATCAGCAACCTCTTCCAGTTGTTGCTCAGTAACTTTCAATCCTTGAAATGACAAAGAACATTGATTTCATTATCTTAACTGTAAATTTGTTGGTATATTCCTAGCACACAAATGTTTCTCATTTTGGTCATAAATAACCATAATMATMATCATCATCATTAATGACAATAACAAAAATAATTTAAAAGATCATGTTTATAAGATCTTTTTACAATATGTATGACTTGTCTCAAAAATAATACTCTTGTGAGCAACCTCCAACTCTAATAAACAAAAATGTCTAAAAATTGGGCAAGTAAGTTGAGAGAATTCATATGATAACTGCATCATATTTGACTGAATTATAAATTTATCATACCACATTCTTGAAGCCCATACTTTTCTGGAAAGTCATGAATGTGATTTGGTACTCCATCTGGAAGGTAAGTGGTTTTTTGACCACGGATCCTGTGACTGTTCCAAACTGTATCAACAAATGTGTTGATTTCCTTTTGCATTATGGGTATCATAAGATAAGCAAGGAGATGCCTTAAACAAAACAAGTAGGTTATTCAACACACAAGCCAAAAAGTCCAAAATTATATTCCTATTATATATTTTTACTAAAGTGAACAGTTTATTACTTGGGTATAACTTTTAAGATGCATTAATACTTATTTATTTTTCAACCTTCTGAACAATTTCTTTGTTGCAATTCTTCAGAAGAAAATATGCCATATTTTCATTTTTTATATCAAGCTTATTATTATATTTCAACCACAATCTAGGTATGTGATACTTCATCTTTCCTAATAAATTATAATTAGTGAGTGGCTTAGAAGTTATATTGCACTAAATAAATGAAAATCGCAAAGAGTTTACCAGGGTTGACAACATTATTTTACAAAAATTATTATCRTGAGAACAGCATGATTTGAGGTGCTATAAATTCTGGATTTTTTTTTGTAATGAAATGTTTCTGGGATGACTATTATTAAAGTTTGAACACATTCACTGTATGCTTAAATATTGTGGTAGGCAAGAAATACCKGTGACTTTCATTATTTGGGTCATAATGCCCATGATCTTTCAACTGCTTCAAAGGGAATTTAAAGAACATCTCCAGCCTTTCATGGAGTTCCCTCCACCACCTTTCAATCTGTAACAARATGTTAAAACTTTGAAAACAAAGGAATAACTATCAAACAAATTAAAGCTGAGATAGACAGCATAAACCTAAGTTTCATTATAATTATGAATCCTAGGTGTATGTTGTCTATCTCCAATAGGCCCTTTGCAGCACGTTGGAATGCAGCTGAATTTGGAGGGCAAGACAAAGGAATCTCAACCAAACCTATTGTTTGATTGGCAATTATTGGAAATATCATTGCAAAAGCAGGTCTAATGAAGTGGCTGAGAGCATGCATGGATTGATGAAAACAGAAAGATTTTACTTTGTGTGATATGGTGTCATATTACTGTTTGTTTGTTATAAGTGTGGAAATTTATACCTGTAATTGAGTTTTGATTATAGTTTTTACCTGGTTCGAGGTTGAAGGCCCATAAATGACAGTTTCAACTGGATCCATATCACCATGATTCTGTCTTAGAAATGCATGCATTGTTGCAAGCACCCCAGTTTCGGTGCCTTTATCCAGTCTCAGCCTGCTTGCAATTGTTCTTGTTTTAAACAAGTACTCAAGGTAAAAGCGACCTATAAGCTGTGGATCACTGTTAGTGATCCACACTTTAACCCACAATACTTTTCTGCTGCATGTATCGATACAGCCGTACACAGCAATAGGGAATGTCCAATTTTGGTATCCCATGAGTTTGTCATGGCCATCGAGGGAGTGCACATGGTTGGGCCCTGGCGACGTAAAATGGCCTTTTGCTTTCTTCTTCTTGAACTGAGGAGCTCTTCTCTCCAAAGCATCAGAGTCTACATCATACATAACGGCATATACAACATCCCTTGGTACCTTCAAGCCATAAACTTGTCTGATTTTTTTCTGTAGTGCTCGATATCCTAGTAATTTCCCTGGCCCTTGCATTTCGTTTTTAACTGCACTTTGGATCTCGTCTATGGTTACCGTGCGATCAGTATAACTGATTTCAAAGTGATTAAGCCTTCTGTCAAGTGTCCTTATGCTCCAAGCRTACTCGCCAAAATCCCTCRAAACATAATCTAGGATCTCCTCGCGATGCAAGCCCTCTTCGACGTAACGTTTCAATGCTTCTTTCAGAAGTTCATCTTCTTTCCACTGATCATTTTTGATCCTTACCGCCGCCATGTTTACACTTTCGTTTTTCGCGCTAAAAGGATAATCCTTGTCGAATTGCATTCTGGTCTATGGCAGCTCTAGGCCAATGGCGTGTTTTTTT